CTCTGTCTCTCTCTGTCCCAAAAATAAATAAATATTAAAAAAAATTTTTTTAAACCTATGTTTATAATATATTTATAATTATTACATATAAGGTTATACTCATATGCAATTATATATATTTATATATTTTATGTAAATATATATAAATACATATATAATGTAAATATATCATATAAATAAATATATAAAATTGTGTGACCCCCCCAAACCCTAGAGGCCTTAACTATGACAGAGTTATATATACCGGGGGTTTAACAAATCATTGCACACAGAGTGTCCACACTGTTACGAAAACATCACGGTGTAAAAGTGACATCAGCACCTGTTGATTTCTGACCCTGTACGCAACCAACCCACTGTTGGGCCTTTACACGAACCCAAAAAGGCAGGCATTGAAATCCCATTTTCCGCATAGAAAGACTGAGGCTTGACAAGCAGAAGGGACTTGCGCAAAGCCGCACAGCTAGGGAGCAGTGGAGCTGGGATTCTAAGCCGCGTGCGCGTGACTCCAGACCCCGGGCTATTGGCCACCATGACCTTCTTGTGTCCCGGAGCACAATAACGTAAAGTCCTGGGCACACGGCCCCACAGAAAAGCATTTAGTGTGCATTTATGGCATCTAGGTCAGTGCGGAAGCTGGTTAGCAGAACTGTGATTCCACATGGGATGAAGATTCGTGAAGAGCCAGGCAGCACGGTCACTGGAAGTAAGCCTCCAGTCGGAGTGAGATGTCAGCACATCGACCCTATTATCTGTATCCCCTGGTCCTAGACACCTCTCCTTCCTGGACTGTCACACGGCTTAAGTCAGAAGCAGACGTGTCAAGCCGACTGGGAGACCCTGTGAGCCGACCCCCACCCACTTACACGTGATTCATGCACGGCTCAAGACCCCTGCCCCCGTGCCTCGAGGAGGGGTGGGAGGTACGTCTGAGTCCCATTGGTGACGAGCTGGATGGGGTTCCCTTTTTTGGCTGCCTCCCTTCCTTGTCTTCTCGACGTACTGGGACCACCTCCCAAAGAAAGTCCTCTAGGGGACCAGAATATGCCACCCCAAATATGCCACTTCGGCGTAAGGATTATTTTGAGTTTGAGGCAAACGAGATGCAGAAAGAAATCTTCCCATTCCGACCACTTGTGAAAGTGACGACTCCCACAGGGCCCCTCTCCTGGGGAAGTTTTATGGCCACGAAGATGGAAAAACCTCGAGCTGAAGGAGTCTGAGAAGGGTCCCTGATGCCCTACCCCACCACCATCTGGCTCTTCTCTGAGAGCAGATCAGTCTCCCGTGTGAAGAATCTCCTCCCTCCACCAGAATGAAGGGAGGGATCCTGATCACCAGAGAGTGAATTCAGAACCAAGAAGCCTAAATAAACAAACCTTATTACTTCTTCACTATTGACTGCCCCCAGCCCAGAGTGCTTTGTCTTATCAATTCTTTTTTTTTTTTTTTTTTTTTAAGTAAACTCTACGCCCAATGTGGGGCTCGAACTCACAACCCCAAGATCAACAGTCACACACTCACTGACTGAGCCAGCTGGGCGCCCCTAATTTCACAGATTTTTTTTTTGTTGAAGTTTTTATTGACTTATTTTGAGACACACAGAGAGTGTGAGTAGGGGAGGGGCAGAGAGATAAGGAGACAGAGGATCCGGAGTGCTGTCAGCACAGAGCCTGAAGTGGGGCTTGAACTCACGAACCGCGAGATCAAGACCTGAGCCAAAGTTATGCTTAACCGACTGAGCCACCCAGGCTCCCCCAGAGATCTTTTAAGGTAGCTCTCTCTATGTAATGACATTTATAAAGCTGATTCAAAATTCAGCTTGACATGTCCTCAGATGGCTTGTCAATTCTTTGCAAGTTGATTGTTTTTTTTATCTGAATGTATAAGAGCTTCCGGCTCTGATGCAGGCTTTCAAGCACATGTAAAAATTCATTAAAACGGGTCTGCTTTCCTCCTGTGAATCTGTCATACGTCAGTTTAATTCTCAGGCCCAGCCAGAGACCCAAAGAGAGAGGAGGAGAATTTTCCTCCCCTACAGCTCCAGGACGGACCTGTACAAATACACCTTACCCCATCTGTTTCCCCCGTATTTTTGCCTTCCCACAGTTAACCTCCAGAGAAGCTCACTGTCCTTTTCCTTTGTCTTGCCATATCTCTAAAAATGTATTGTTCTTGTGTTAGGATGCTATAAAAGCCCAGGTTCTAGCCAGCCCTTTGAGTTACTCATCTCTGGGTACTCCCCCGTATAAGTGCAGATGAACTAATAAACCTTTTTTGTGTGTGTGTGCCCAACCTGGGGCTTGAACTCATGACCCCAAGATCAGAAGTCACATGTTCTACCAACTGAGCTAGCCAGGTGCCCCGGAATTAGTAAACACCTAATGAACTTCTCTTTGTTTTTCTCTGTGAATCTGTCTTTTGTGAGTTTAATTTACAGGCCTCTGTTCTGCACCTAAGAGGGTGGAAGGAAGGAAAAAGAATGACTTTCCTCTCTTATTCTACTTACATTCAAATCCTTTTGTCTAAGGGTTACTCCTTGGGAAACCCAAACCAAAACAAAGTCTTAGTGGGGCACCTGGGTGGCTCACTTAGTTAAGCATCTGACTTCCGCTCAGGTCACAATCTCACGGTCCGTGGGTTCAAGCCCTGCATCAGGGCGAAGGGCTGTCACTGGGAGCCTGGAGCCTGCTTCAGATTCTCTGTCTCCTCCCTCCTGCCCTCTCACCAGTACTTACATTCTCTAAAAATAAACATTAAAAAATTTTTTAATTAAAAAAAAAATCTTAGCCAAAAAGCTCAAAGAGTCACTTCCTGAGATCTTCCTTCCTTCATCCACCCCCTTCACACCGCCCAGCCCTCCTTGTCGCCGCCTATCACCCCGCCTCTTGTTTTATTTTTCTCCTTGTAGCCACGAATACCAGATCGGAGTTTGTTTTGTTGCTGTCTGTTGACTTATTTACTGCCCTTGGCTCTCTCCCCTTCCCATGAGGATGTTAGTCCTGCAGGGGGGCACCACTGGCGTGAGCCCACCATTGTCTGGACTCTGTAGGAAAGTGTCCACATTTGTTGGCTGAAACACTGTCCTTGACAGTCTTCACTTAGTCCTGTAACGAGTCCTGTTTAGGAGCAGGGCACTAACCTGGACACTGTTGACAACGTGAGGACCAGACCATCCTGTGTTGTGGGGCCCCTGGGCATGGGATGTTTTTTTTTTTTTTTTTAATGTTTATTTATTTTTGAGAGACAGAGACAGAGAGAGAGAGCAGAGCGGGGGGAGGGGCAAGGCAGAAGAGAGAGGAGACACAGACGTAGCAGGCCCAGGCTCCGAGCTGTCAGCACAGAGCCCTACATGGGGCTCCAACCCACAAACTGTGAGATCGTGACCTGAGCCGAAGTCAGACGTTTAACCAACTGAGCCACCCAGGCGCCCCCCCGTGGCTCCTCCTTGTGGCATCCTGGCTCTTCTCCGAGATACAATTACAGCACCCTCCCCACCTCCTGCGGCAGACCACGCAACCCTTCCCCGGATATTGCCAAGTGTCTCCTGGGGTGGGGGCAAAAATCATCCCCAGCTGAGATCATGAACTTGGAGAGCGAGCCCCACCGGGTACTTACGACGGTGCGGGTAGCGCCTGGGGCCCGGAAGTCCATTTCCCGCCATCGTGCTCTTCCGGGCTGTAGGCAGCCCCGTGCAGGCGCACGGTCAGGGCGTTCCTGCAGTTTTTCACGCACAGGGAGGCAATCACGTGCTCCATCTTGGTGGTGATGTTGCCGACGACAAGCACTCGAAAGTGGCTCAGGGCTTGTTGGATAAACTCCTCCTCCTGGATCTCGTACAGGCAGCTGAAGAGCTCCAGGGAGCCCTGCTGGAGGGTGGAGCCCTCGCTCCGAGCTTTGCTTTGGATCCAGGCCAGCAGCTCCAGCTTGACGTGAGGCGACACCTCCCAGCAGAGACTCTTCTCCAGGTAGCTCCTTGTCTCCTCGTTCAGGAGGCCAAACAGGAAGCGCACGGTGAGCCCCAAGAAGCTCCTTCCCGAAAACCCGTACTCCGCCAACAGCTTCGTCACGCTCTGCTCTGGGCTGGACCCGGTCTCCCCGGCGCGCAGGATGTAGTACATGGCGGCAAAGAATTCCTGGAAGCTGAGGTGGATGAAGCTGTAGAACTTTTCACAGTTGATGTCCTTCTGGAAGATGTTCATGTTGAGGAAGGAGGAGACATCTGCCCCATCGAGGCCATGCTTCCGGAGGTCCTGCTCCTCAAAGAGGATCTTCTGATTCCAGACGCCGTCCGCCGCCAGAGAGCACAGCGCCCTCTGGTTGGCCGGGGGGTGCAGGGTGGGGCTCCCCGGCTTGGGCTGCATCAGACTCAGGAGGTAGAGCAGGTACACGGCCGTGGTGGTCCTGGACGTCTGTCGTAGGAGCCCCCCGTCCTCCAGCTGCTGCTTGAGGCAGGTGCACACGACCCAGCACACCATGGGGACAAAGCACAGAGTGAACAGGGGCTCGTTGTCCCTCATGAAGCTGAAGACTTGAGCGGCCTGCTCTGCATTGTGGAAATACTTGTAGCAGTACTCCCGCCTCTCGGCCTCCGAGAAGCCCAGGATCTCCACGTGCCTGGGATGCTCCAGCAAGCGCTGGAGCTTGTCCAGAGCCGTGGGCCTGGTGGTGATGATCATGGACAGCTCAGGCAGCAGCTTCTTCCCAAGCAGGCTGCCGAGGAGAAGCTCCGTGGGCTGTTTCTCCTCCCAGCAGAGGCACCAGGGGCCCTGAGGGTGGTGGAAAGAGGGTTTTAGCTCGTCGAAGCCATCGATGATGAACAGGAGGCGCTCGGGGACTCGGACAAGCTCCTGGAGGGGCACGCTGGGCTCCGGCCAGCAGCTGGAGATGAGGTCCCGGGCGCTCTGCTCCGAGGTGCTCTGGTTCATCTCCCTGCAGTTGATGTAGAAGAGATAATCAAACCTGCCTTGGAAGAGCTTCCCGTCGGCCCAGTCAAGCATCACCTTGTGGGCCAGCATGGACTTGCCCATCCCGGCCGCTCCCTGCAGGACCACAGTGCGCGGGGGCTCGGGGCGCTCCTCGTCCGGCTCAAAGAGGGTCTCCATCTGGATGAGGCTGGCCTGGTGCCCCACGGCTCTTGCCTGTCCCCAGCCTGTGTCCAAAAGCTTCTGCTGGGCCCACATGGGAGTTGAGTGCTCCTTCACCAGGAGGAGGCGGGTGTACCTGCGGCTGAGGTTGACGCATTCCCCCAGGCGCGCATTTCGGTCTTGCATCAGCCGAAACTTCCTGCGGACGTAGTCCTTGTAGGTTTCCCGGGGATCTAAGGGAGGGGAGTGAGGAGGGGGGTCCATGGGAGACTCATCAGCCACTGTTCGTGGATCGGCGGGCGAAAGCAAACCACGGTCTATTGGTGCCTATTTGTTCTGCAATATCCTCGGGATGCTTTTCTGGATGGAGCCTGGGGGGCTTGGTACTGTTCTCATGGGAAGCAAAGGCACTAACAGGGAAACTGTCCTCGGGCACAGGAGTCTATCCTGGCGACTCAAACGGGGTGTCAACGTCCTAGAGCACCTCCAGCACCTGCTGATGGAACACAGCAAGGGCACCTAGAGGAGGCTGTCAGCCTCAGCCACGGGTTCACTCGGGTCCTCCCGGGGAAGACACTGAAATCCCACATGGGCCCACAAGGAGCTGGTCGAAAATGGGAAAGTGAGCCCCGCTCCCCAGCTACAGAACCCCGAACTGCATCCCTACCAGGACCGCTGTCTGATTTGCCAGCACGCTGAAGTTTGAGAAGGCAGGGCTCCCAAGGTTTCTGCCTTTGAAAAAAGGCCACTGTGCGTGGGCACTGGAGAACTTGTCTGCTCTCTAAGCCCCTTGCTAAATGTCTCTTTGGGGAAATCTACTTGGTATAGATGTGAATGCACAATCTAGAGCAGTGGTGCTCACCAGGATGATTGTGTCCTCCCCTAGGGGGTTTCTAGCAAGGTCTGGAGATATTTTGGGCCCTAGCAACTGAGGGGTGGGGCACCAGCTACGACCATCCTGTGGGTGGGGGCCAGGGTGGCTGGTGGGCTAAGTCAGTTAAGCATCTGACTCTTGATTTCGGCTCAAGTCATGTCTCCCAGTTTGTGAGTTTGAGCCCCACATTGGGCTCTGCACTGACAGTGTAGAACCTGTTTGGGATTCTCTCTCTCTGCCCCTCCCCTGCTATCTCTCCCTCTCAAAAAAAAAAAAAAAAAAAAAAAAAAAAAAAAAAAAAAAAAAGCAAGCATCCTTTTGTATTTGAATGTCCCCAGAGGTCCATAATATTGGACCTAAAAAGGGGCGCCTGGGTGGCGCAGTCGGTTGAGCGTCCGACTTCAGCCAGGTCACGATCTCGTGGTCCGTGAGTTCGAGCCCCGCGTCAGGCTCTGGGCTGATGGCTCGGAGCCTGGAGCCTGTTTCCGATTCTGTGTCTCCCTCTCTCTCTGCCCCTCCCCCGTTCATGCTCTGTCTCTCTCTGTCCCAAAAAAATAAATAAACGTTGAAAAAAAAAAATTTAAAAAAAAAATATTGGACCTAAAGGAATGGTTCCTGCCTAAAGGAAGGTTAAAAAAGAGATCTAAATTTGATCCTGGGACTCTCTCAAAAGGAATGCATGCACTCTTTTATTTTGAATTCTAGGAAAATACACATAACCTAAAATGTAGCATTTTAACCGTTTTTAAGGGTAAGACTGACTCAATGATATTAAGCGCATTCACAACGTTGTGCAATCATCAGCACGGTCCATTTCCAGAAATTTTCGTTCGTCCTCAACAGAAACTCTGTGCCTATTAAACACTAACTCCCCATTCCTCCCCCACCCCCAGCCCCTGGTCCACTCTCTGTCTCCAGTGTGACTTATTTATTTTTTTTTTAATTTTTTTTAATGTTTATTTATTTTTGAGACAGAGAGAGACAGAGCATGAATGGTGGAAGGGCAGGGAAAGAGGGAGACACAGAATCGGAAGCAGGCTCCAGGCTCTGAGCCATCAGCCCAGAGCCTGACGCGGGGCTCGAACTCACGGACCGTGAGATCATGACCTGAGCTGAAGTCGGCCGCTTAACCGACTGAGCCACCCAGGAGCCCCGTTTTAGATTTTATTTTAAAGCAATCTCTACACTGAAAGTGGGACTCTAACTCGCAACCCAGAGATCAAGAGTCACATGCTCCACTACTGAACCAGCCAGATGCCCCGGGAGCTGATGCCTGATACCAGCCATATGCTGTCCCTTCACAAGCCCCAGAGGATGAATCACAGTTTGGCTAAACCAGTCATGAACAATCTCATTCCCTGTTGCCAGTGGCTGGTCTGGGAATGTGCCCCAGTTCCGACCAATGAGGTGCAAAGGGATGACCACCGGGAAGGGGGAAGCTTGTTGAAAAGATTTTATGGGTGGATGGATGGATGGACGGGTGGCTCAGTCAGCTGAGCAACTGACTCTTGATCTTGGCTCAGGTCACGATCTCACAGTTCATGAGTTCGAGCCCTGCATTGGGCTCTGTGCTGACAGTGTGGAGCCTGCTTGGGATTCTCACTCCTTCCTTCTCTCTCTGCCCCTCCCCTGCTGTCTGTCTGTCTGTCTGTCTCTCTCTCTCTCAAAATAAAATAAATTTTAAAAAAATGATACTCTCATGAAGAGGAAAATCTTTTTTCTCTCTTTTTTTTTTCCCTGCTTGGAATTCACTTGCATGAAATGGTTTGGTTGCCATCTTGCAACCATGAGGTGACAAATCTTAGGACAAGTGTAACAGAGGAAGTTGGGGATTTGATGGTGTTGCTAACCGGCCACATAAGGCAGAGTTTATGTGCAGAAACCACCCATGTCAAGATTTCTTGTTATGCTTTTCTTTAATGCAAACATTAAATATTTTTTTTTGCTTGATCTAGTCCATTGGACAGTCTGATACATGTAGCCTTGTGTATTCTACCAGATACACGGCTCATGACTCACCTTTCCTTGGAGTTCCAGGAAAGACTTCCAGACGACATACTGACTGGCTCTCCAGTGAGGATGAGCCATCAGGTGGAGTATCTGGAAGAGAAATTTTGGAAGATCAGCTAGCATATATCTGGCTAGCTCTCAATAATATTAGCTACTTTGAATGCCTGAAGCTAATATAACTTATATGTCAATTAAAAAAATACTAGTTACTATTACATCAGACTGTCTACATGATAATTCTCTGTCCACCCACACCCCAGAATGTTTGGCATTCACCTCACATGCATTACTGCTGAAAACACTTGCTCTGCATAACCCACTCTCCTTCCTGGGTACACATTGTGGGGATCAGCACCTCCATCGATCCAACAAATCCTTTCAGGCAGGAAGTTGTGAGTCAGCTTGGATTTCCTCCCTCTCCTTCAGTCTTTGCCCACACCTCATCCATCTATCCATCCATTCATCCACCCATCCATGCATCCATCCATCCATCCATTCATCCATCCATCTCCATCCTCCATCTACCCATACATCCACCCATCGACCCATCCATCCCTCCATCCCTCCATCCACCACC